CATGCTTAGGAAATTGGGGCTCTCTTGATCATTGAACTTTCTTTTGTCATCCAAGACCTGTCTAGTCCCAAGTTAGATGTAAGAAACCGCTTCTGTCTCAGCCATTTATGGTGGACAGGCAGGTGCAGGTTGGGGACATGAGCAGAAGTGTGGAAGCATTAGGAGTGTGGCTGTTCCAAGCTAAGCAGTGGGAGGTTCAATGTACCGTCGTCTCCACATCAAATGTTTGAGATTCCCCAGGATAAATGTTTTTAAGTCCATGGAAAATAGTATCTGTTCTATAAATATAGAAGAGAAATACAAAAGGCTAGAAATATTCCTGAACACTTTAGGAGCGGTTTTTATCAGATAGAGATAATAGTATAAATCAGGGCCAGGCACAGTGGCTCACACCTGTAACCCCAGCTCTCTGGGAGACAGAGGTGGGAGAATCACTTGAGCTCAAGAGCTGAGACGAGCCTGAGCAAGAGCAAGACCCCATCTCTACTAACGATAGGGAAAAAAACGAGCGAGGTATCTTGGTGGGTACCAGTAGTCAGCTACTTGGGAGGTGAGGCAAGAGGATCACTCGAGCCCAGGACTTTGAGGTTGCTGTGAGCTGTGACACCACCGTACTTACTCTACCCAGGTGACAGAGTAAGACTCTGTTTCAAAATTAAAATAAAATAAAATAATAAAATTATTTTTAAAAATAATATAAATCAGGAAGCTGCCTCTAAGTCTCTTAGCTAACAAGATGGGAAATGTATAACTAAGTCAAGAAGTCCTTCCCCTCCTCTCTCCTACATAGAATTGGTCCCATTGCTGGCATTTAAGGGTGGATTTTTCTTTTTAATACATCTTCCAGGAGTACATTTCTGCATGTGTGTGTATTCAGATATAAAATACACCTGAATAGAGTATAACAGATCCGCAGACATTTATTGCTCCTTGGTTGTATGCCAGAACTGTATAGTCCTGCTGATGGACGCCGTTGACATTAAAGAGCTTACATTCTAGGAGGGGAAACAGACACCCGAGGAAAATAAAGCCCAGTGTGATCCCTAAAACAATGGAACTCTAATTAAGGTACACAGCTAGCGTGGAGGGAGGAGGCTATGAATGGTGCCCTCTCTGTAGGAGGAGAGATGTGTGCAGAGGTCCCCTGCAGGTAGCAGTGTCCCAGATGGGGCTTCAAGGATGAATGGCAGTGCACCTGCAGTGTGGGCTCCTGCCGAGGGCAGCGGCTGAGCCTCAGTGGGCTCCTGACTCTGGGCCTGGGTTGCTGATCCTGGACCATTAAGTACTAGTAGGCTAGTTATGGAAGGAACTAAAGCTGAAGAGTCTGGGCAGGAAAGACTTTGCACAGGAGGCTGCGCGTGGAATGTGTGCTTTGTCTTGGGGGACGCTGTTAGCTGTTCTGAGCGGGAAAGCAGTGTGGTCAGAATTCTCAGTCTGAATTCGAGTTTTTAAATGGTGACCTGACTCCCTGTGCTTGTCTCTCCCCATCCTCAAGCTTACTTATCAGTTATGAGATTTTCAGTTGCAAGTATCAGAAAACACAACTCAAAATTGAACCCAGCATGAATGAACCTTGAGGACATTGGGCAAAGTGAAATAAGCCAGTCCCCAAAGGACAGATACTGTGTGATTCCACTTCCATGAGATCCCTCGAGGGTCGTATTCAGAGACAGAAAGTGGGATGATGGTTGCCAGGCACTGGGGGAGGAAAGAGTGGGAGGTTCTGTTTAATGGGAGCAGAGTTTCAGCTTTTCAAGATGAAAAGCGTCCTGTGGGTGGGTGACGGTCATGATTGCACCACAGTGTGAATATACTCAACAATGAGCTAACCCGACACTTAAAAATGATTCAGATAGTAAACTTTGTTATGTGTAGTTGACCAGAGTAAGAAATGGCCCCCCAAATGGCTTAAACCAAATGGAAAAGGTACCATTTTGTAACCGTGTGTAGGCAGAACAGCTTTAGAACTGGCTAATTCATGGCTCAACAGTATCAGAAACAGTCAAGTCTCCACGTCTCTGCCACCAGCCACATATCCCCTTCACTGCCTTGGAGGACAACTGACGCAGCTGGGAACTACTTTCCAAAACAGCTCACTCCCTGGCCGTGTCTATTTTCTCTTGCTCACAGCAGAATACCTTAAACTGAGTAATTTGTAAAGAATCTGTTAAGTTCTAGGGGCTGAGAAGCCCACAGTTGAGGGGTCGCATCTGTCATGGGCCTTTGTGCTGATGGGGACTCTGCAGGGTCCCTAGGGCATCACATGGCCAGAGGCCTGGGAGTTCTAGCTCATGCGTCTCTTCCTCTTACAAAGCCACCAGTCCCATTGCAGATAGCCCACTAATCCAGGAATAGGTTAATCCATTCATGAAGATGGAGCCCCCTCCATCCAGTCACCTCTGAGGGGCCCCACCTCTCTACTGCCACACTGAGGATTAAGTTTCAACGGTGAATTGCAGAAGGGCCAATTACTCAAACCATAGCACTCCCCTTCCATGAACAAGGAAAGCTTCCCAAGTCACATACTACTCAGCATCTCCGCCTGGCGGCCTAGTAGCAGTTTCCTGTGGAGCGTGACCAAACCCCACTCCCCACTTCCCCCTTGTACCTTCTCTTCCCACCATCTTCTCAGTCTCTCTGTCCAGCCTCTTTCTTAACTCAGGCTGAAAACCTCAGCGTCATTGGGGCCCCTCCCTTTCTGCCACCCCATTCGTCCGTCTACAGATTCTTTTGACGCCGTCTAACATACAGGTTATAGCTGCTTGCACCCGCGGCTCTGCTCTAGCTGTCATGGCTCACCTGGGTATTGTAATAGCTTCTTGACTATTCTCTGTTGCTGCCCTTGGTCACATATTCTTTTAGTGAACAAGTGTTTGCTGAGAGCCTAACAGGTGCCAGGTATCGCTCTGGTTACTAGGGACTCTGCAGTGAATAAAACTGGTAAAAATCTCAGCCCTCCAGAGCTTTCATTCTGTTCCCAAAACAGTAGTCAGATCGGGTCACTGCTTTGATCAAAAATCCTCTGATTGGGTGGCGCCTGTGGCTCAAAAGAATAGGGCGCTGGCCCCATATGCTGGAGGTGGTGGGTTCAAACCCAGCCCCAGCCAAAAACTACCAAAAAAAAAAAAAAAAAAAAAGGCTCAAAAATCCTCTCATCTCATTCAAATTGTTCTCATCTCATTCAAAAGCCACACACTTAAGACCCTCCATAAGGTAGTGCTGCCTCCTTGTAGTTCCTAGAGTAAATTAAGCACTGACATCTCTGGGCCTTTGAATTTTTCTCTTGTTGCCCAGAATTTTGTTTCCCCAGATACCCTCAGGCCTTGTTCTTTTGTTTTCTTCAAGTGTCTCAATTAGGGTTTGACAAAAAGACAGGAATCATGATGACCTCAAGATTTCAGCCTGAACAACTGGCTGAAGTTGCCATTTCCAGAGATGGATCATACTGTGTGAGGAGCAGGTTTGGGCTGCAGGCATCCAGGAGTTCCTTCTGGACCTGCTGCATTTGAGACACTTCTTTAGACCTCCAGATAGGACGTGCAGTGGCAATATGAAGTTGGAAGTACGAATCTTAAGTCTCAGGGAGAGTCCTGAGCTAGAGATGCGCTTTAGGAGTGATCAGTGTATGAGCAGGTCTAGGCTGAGTCCCTGAGACGACGTGAGGATGCGGGATGTGTGTCGAGGAGAGGTCCAGGGTCTGCACCTTGGAGGTTATGGCTAGAGCTGGGCCTATGAGGAGGGACACCTGTGAGGAAGAGGAGCGTCAAGAGATGGCACTGCCCCAAGACAAGAGAAGGAAAGTGGCAAACAGGGAGGGACTGTCAGGTGCTGTGCTGGGTCAGCACCAGATGTCTCAGAGTTCAGTACAAACAGCCCGGGCTCTTTGAGGAAAGCTTCCAGCATGGGGTCATGACAGACCTGTATATTGATTTAAGTCAGTTAATGTTCTTAAACATTGAGGCAAAAGAAGAATCTTTGGTTCTAATTAGGCAACTCTTGGTGCTCCTCGGGAGCTGGTCAGCAGCAGACCAAGCCATGATCAGAAGTTTAGAACTTTCAGCCCCCTTGTCTTCTGGGCGGGTGAGCGGCTGGAGATCGGGTTATGCTTATGATGCCTACTGATCAAGACTCCATGTAAATCCCTAAAAAATGGGGTTCAGATTGCTTTCTGGTGTGGCAGACACATGCCGGGAGGGCGGCGTGCCCCGTCTTAGTGGAGACAGCACTGCTGTGCTCAGGACCCATTTGGACCTCACCTTAGGTGCCTCTGAATCTGTTCATTTGTGCCCTTTACCTTGTGTTTATCTGGTAAAGGTAAGTAAATGCTGCCCTGAGCTCTGTGAGCCATTATGGCAAATTATCGAACCTAAGGAGGGGATTGTAGGAACCCCCGATTTGTAGCCATGTCTGACAAAAAGTTGTAGGTAACCCAAGACCTGCATTTATAATTAGTGTTGCCGACATCCTTGTGGACAGAGCTCATAATCGGCAGGGTCTGCGCTAACTCCACGTCATTAGTGTCAGAATTGAGTTAAACTGAACTGGAGAGTTGCTTGTTGAGGAAAAACCACCCTTTTTCTTTAACAAACCAGCATCTTTAGGCCTCATTTGGGGAGCAGGCAACTCACACATTAAATCTGCCTCTTCTCCATCCCCTAAAGTCATGCCAGTAAGATCATCGGGATGCAGGCTCTGAAACACCGAGTGTGCACAATTGCTGTTGCCTACAAATACGTGTGTCAGAGACCATGAGCTGCTGTTAGAAATCAAGGAAAGAGACTCATTTCTTCCACTCAGCAGTTTCTATTTTTTAATGCAGCTTGAATTCAAAGGAATAAAAATTGTTCCAAACTTACTAAACTGAGGCTGTATCTGGAAGAGAATCTGCTCTGCACGAGTGGGGAAGAAAATATAGTTGAGGGAAGCCCTTGCTGACTCTTGAGGGTCATGAAAGTTATGCTGGTTGGACACTGTTTTCTTTAACTTTGTTTTTTCTGCAGGTGTTGGCACCAGGAATTATTACAGAAAGATTGGCTACAGATTGCAAGGCCCGTACATGGTGAAGATGCTGAGGTAATGGCCACACCATCCCACCTTTATGCAGAAGATGGAGAGTCAGGATTCCTTGAATACTCAGCAGAGAGGCTGAGCAGAGCAAACGGACCTACACTGTTCCCCAGCAAGGAGCCTTCACCCTCATCCTGCAGCTGCAGAAACTGGAAACTGCATCAAGGCCAGACTGGGCGTCTGCTGACCAAGCCCCTGACTCACCCTCTCCTGTGTGTACCCAAAAATATCCCTGCCGTTTTTGAGGCTTAAATCATTTGTCCAGTTGCTAAATTCTGCATGAGGCTTGCAGGTGACCTGTTTTGACTCAGACACAACAAAAGAAAATTAATCAACCCATTTGGACACCGTCACTCATGAATGAACCTGTGACTCGTGTGGGTACCGGCTTAGGAGAAGGCTTTGTCTCTAGGGACAGAAAGATCGAGCATATGGAAACTGTCTGATCTCTGCCCTTCAATGACATACACATTGGCACAAGGGAAAATGAGCTTTTGTTGTGATGGAAATCATTCTGGTTACAGTGCTGATGTTTTGAAGTAACAGCATGACTGGGAAAGGGGAATTGCAGCCGTGACTGTAGGCCAGACGGCCACCGTCTGCCAGCCTCGCCCAGGTGGATCTGCCGTCCAAGACAGGCAAGACAAAGAGGCTCGGTTTCACAGTTTTTACTGTCTGTAATTCCCACACTCTTGGCAACTGCGGAACAGTGTGGGCAGCCACAAGTGCGGTGCCCAGAAAGCGGTTGGCTTTCCTGCCCATCTGTCCCGAGCAGGCAGAGTCTGGGGAGAGAGTGTGTGTGTCTGTCTGTCTGTCTGTTGGGGGCATGTGGCCCTGAGTCGAAGATCCACTTCCACAAACCTGTTCCCTGAATTTTCATTCTTTAAGGCGGATTTTGGTTTACAGTAAATGGAAAAAGGTCAAAGTTCAACTCATGTGAAAGACAAAAAAATGGAAAACAGTATTGGCTTCTTCTGAGGCTCATCTTGTAGCTTTGCCTCTTTGAAAATGCCAGGAAATCGAGTTTGGTGATTTGGCCTGGGGAGGATCACTTCCTAAATTAAGGGCAGGACTTAACCTTGGGCCCTTTGGCCTCTATGGCATTTTGTAAAGCCTTGGTCAATGGAATTGATTCCTCTAAAAGGTCTGAAAATAAAGAGTCTTTAACATACAAAGAAGAGTCATGTGGGTTTTTTCTTTCCCCATAAGCAGCAATATTTGCCGTGAATTTGCAGGTTTCAGCTTCCAACTCCGACACTGCCCCTTTCCTCCTGGGACCATTTGCCGCACCATTAAACTGCTGCAAGGCAAATGACAGGGCTTTCTTATGGGCCAGCTGTGGGATGATCAAGGCTGTCCATGAGGGCCACTTAGGGAATTCAGCTACTTCTCAATTATGCTTTTTTTTTCCTATAAAAATGAAACTATTAAACTAATAAAGCGTACACCACACAGTCTGCTACACCCCTGGGTTCACAGAGTCTCTGGGCCTCGACCTTCTCCTCTGTCCTAGTTAACCAAATGGGCCAAAACACATCATGTCCAATAACGCCCTTTGTGAAACAGCAAGAGAGGCACGCACATGGAAAGTCTGTTTTAAAAGATGACAATTTAGAAAAAAAATTTAAAAGAAATTGCCTAGGAACTTGCAGCCTTCTGATGGTTTTCAGCCCTTATTTCTTGGCAGGATTCAGATCGCCTCTTTCCAGCTCATCCCCAGCCTTCGTTGGTGTCTCCTGTGGCCTGTGTGAAGCCGCGGAGGTTGTGAAGCATTACCAGGTGTCACAGGCTCTGCGCTGGAAGCTTCAGCTTCCTGGTGACTGCCCAGCATTTGTCATGGCTCTTCTGCCACCTGGCCAGTCTGGCCCTCCAGAGCCTGGTGCTCCTCAGCCACTGGCTGCCCCAGAAGAAAGATCAGCTGGGCACAATCCTGCTGGCCTCGGCATGAGGCCGTCACACATGCAGCTCGGTCCTGGTCTGTGCGGAGCAACTCCTTAGCAACCAGCTGGAGCCAGCTCAGCCTTAGCTCAACTTTGCCAGATCACCTGAAGAGTCTAACAAAAAATATATGAAAAGATCAAGCCGTATGAAAACCAGACTGAAATGTATTTGAAGAGAAAATGAGGTTTCAAAAGTACATTAGCACCAAGTGAAAGGGCCTGGTAAAGCCCACTGTTGCTCAAATTTGGGGATGAATGGGCCCCTTTTTCATTTTTCATCACTACTGACACCCAAAGTACTGAAAGGTACAACTTAAAAATCAAAGCCTGGTCTGTGAAAACTTCTTTCAAGTTGCAAATTCTCTTTGCCAAAATATTTCCATTTTCTTTTGATTTTTTTCTTCATTATTTCATTGAAAACACAATTTTGTTCATAAAGAACTCACAAACCGGCTCGGCGCCTATAGCTCAGCCGGCTAAGGCGCCAGCCACGTACACCTAAAGTGGCGGGTTCGAGTCCCCAGCCCGGACCCGCCAAAACAACAATGACGGCT